ACATACAGTGGTCAAAAAATTATAGCCGAACCACTTTTTGCAAAGTTTTAACGTATTATTTTTGTTGTTATTGAACTTTTCTTATTTTTTTTATAAAATATAGTTGATTCTTTAAAAAAACCCATGTAAATACAAGTTTCCAAATTTTTGCAATATTAAAAAAAAATTCAACAAACTTTCGTACAAATTTCGAACGTTTTAAAAATTCGAAAAAATCAATCGAAATTTTTAGCCATTTGAAACTTGTACTTTATTCTACTAAAATTAAATGGGCTACAAAACTGCACACTCAGAATTTAATTAAAAACCTCGAAATTTTAATGAAAACTTGTTGAATTTTTTTTAAATTGCATAAATTTTTAAGGCAGTGACACTCGATTGGTACATTTGTACATATTTATATTGGGCTAGTGGTAAACAAATGGGATTTTTTTTTGTAGTCAAAAGATTGGTACAATACAGCGTTGTTCTATTGAAAATTTAAACAAATTAATTTTCGTGATTGGGATAAAGAAAAATTCTGGTTGTTCACACCAAATTTTGGCAAATACCCAATCGTGTGACACTGCCTTTAAACTTGTGTTTATACGGATGTTTTTAAAGAATGAACTATGAAAAAAACCTAACCAAAATTAAATAACATAACTTTACAATGATTACTCGCCCGTGCTATCATAGTAGCACAATGCCACTAAGCGCATTTTAAAATTTTCAGGCAATAGCCTCATGCGATTATCGATTATATTTTTTGTTGTTTGTGTGAAATATTTTATTTTTATCAGTATTTTTCTTTTAATCAAAATATGTTGAAATAAGTGAAACTAAAAAAATTTTGCCAGAACCCCCTCCCCCGCCTGCCCCCTTCCGAAAAAAAATCGTGGCTATGGGCCGGGCAACAGCAACTTAGCCTTGCACAAAGAAGTCCAACTTCTGAAAAACCGCAAACGGACACTGAAACAATCTTCTGCTCTCAATAATTTATATAGACTAATGAAAGCCGAAATCAACATCAAGCCAATGGCATCACCTCAGCTGAAACACGCACCGTGGACTCTTAAATAAACTTCCTTTGTCAGCTGCCGTACAACATACCGAAAACACACAACAGATGTAACCACATACAGGCGACTGTTTAACGAAACAATCCAGCCATTCCGAGAGAATAATTGGGAGGTGCTTTTCACAGATGGCTCCAAGTCTGAACACGGAGTAGGCTGCGCGGGGGAACTTTCTGATATATGGAATTTTACCTCTTTTTGCCAACGCTTATTATGCTGAAGTCTAGGCGATATTATCTCTCTACAACTAGTGAAGACACTTAAGAAAAAATTTATTGTGTGCACCGACACCTTTTCAGCATACGAATCCGCAAAAACTATGAAGAACACTTCCGAACCTAAAACTGTATTAAAGCAGCTCATCTTGCAACTAGGAAGCAGAGTAAAACTTATGTGGATCCCTGGACACGCGGGAATATATGGAAATGAGCAAGCCGATAACGCTGCAAGATCAACTTTAGAAGCTCCATTAATAATGTTAACACAGAAAACTTACTAGCCGAAGGAGGCTACTCCCCCGAGGACAGGATACACTTAATAAGTTGCAGAGAAATACCAAAAATCTACTGCAACAGAAGCTCAGCCTTGCACAAAGAAGTCCAAATTCTGAAAAACCGCAAACGGACACTGAAACAATCTTCAGCTCTCAATAATTTATATAGACTAATGAAAGCCGAAATCAACATCAAACGAATGGTATCTCGTCATCTGAAACACCTACCGTGGACTCTTAAAGAAACTTCCTTCGTCAACTGCCGTACAACATACCGAAAACACACAACAGATGTAACCACATAAAGGCGACTGTTTAACGAAACAATCCAGCCATTCCGAGAGAATAATTGGGAGGGGCTTTTCACAGATGGCTCCAAGTCTGAACACGGAGTAGGCTTGGCAGTAGTGAACACCATTGGGGCCACTCTGATACATGGAATTTTACCTCCTTTTGCCAACGCTTATTACGCTGAAGTCCAGGTGATATTTTCGCTCTACAACTAGAGAAAACACTTAAGAAAAAATTTATTGTGTGCACCGACAGCTTTTCAGCATACGAATCCGCCAAAACTATGAAGAACACTTCTGAACCTACAATTGTATTAAAGCAGCTCATCTTGCAACTAGGAAGCAGAGTAAAACTTATGTGGATCCCTGGACACGCGGGAATATATGGAAATCAGCAAGCCCATAACCCTGCAAGATCAACATTAGTAGCTCTATTAATGACGTTTACACCGTTGTCGAGTAAATCTATTGGTAATTTAGCCACCCTCTCCTTACACCGTAAAAATGCATTAAAATGGAACAAATTATAACCACCGCTACTAAACTATCAATCCAAGGTAATCGGTAATAAAACTTCCTGCCACTATAGAGGAAATCAGGAACAAGTGTGTCGTACGTTTCAGGTTGGGCCACACCAACCTTACACATGTACATCTAATCAAAAACGAGCCTCAGCCATTATGTCAATTTTGTCGCAACTCAAATTTATCCGTCAACCACATCCTCATTGATGTCCACTTCTTAACACGCAAAGAACCCTCATATTCCACAACCGGAACCCATTTGAAGTCCTTACCAATCCCACCGAACAAAATATCAATCTTATTTTTAACTTTTTAAAAATTATACACATCCATAACTTAATTTGAAATACCAAATATTTTCTCTTTTTAACGGTAGCCGAAAGCCCTGGCAGCTAGTGCTCTAAAGTCTTATTAATTGTAATTTTAATTAATAATAATAAAAATATTCCGACGAACCTTCTTCTTATTTTTTGAAGTCGGTAAATATCTTCTTAATATATGGCGCTCTTATAATTATGCAACGCAGTGTACTATTCACTTTTTTGACTTGTGTTTAGAGAAACTTTGAATTCTTAATTTTTTCGTTATTTATGTGTTAAAATAGATATAAAAAAAATTGTGTTTCAATGAGGAGAATTTTTCCTCCTGGAATGTTAAAAAATTCTGGTGACCCTGGTGAAGGTCGTGCTTTTGTCGGATCTTAGACTAAAAGTTCACTTCAAAATATGGTCATCGTAGTCATACGGCAACACTCGATTAGTTTGACAGCAACCAGCAGGGACCAACCGAAATAGAACGGCATGCGTATGAAGCTAAAAGTGAAAGTTCATACCATCCATTGCGTCGCCGCCACCGTCACCGTCACCATCACCGTCAACGATGCTTATGCGCCGAGTTACACACTATCCGTTTGAAGTTGCGTCCGAAAAATCATAAACTCGCTGCTAATCTTTGCAAAATTTGCGTTTTAGTTTTGCACTTCTTCTATTAGGTATTCCTCCATCATTTTTTAAAGTTCGTTTTTCTATAAATCTAAATCTTTTCACAAACTGGAAAATGTTACGTTCAAACATGTAAACAAAACACAGAATAGTTGTCACTTGACGCAAATGCATAAGCAAAGTTGAAAGTTGAGCTAGTTTGTGCGCCACCGACTCCATCAGCTTTGTACATGTAACTTACTTCACACAAAAATCGTTTCAACTTTTTTGACAACTGCCGGTGACGGTGACGGCGCCGCAATATACGTTATGTACTTTCCCTTTAACTCAATTCCAATTTTTGTTCTGCGTGACATTTTGATCTGACGTTTCGCTCAATGAAATCAAAAGCAAACGCACGCAAGCCAATTTCGGGTGACGCAAAAAAACAAGCCGCGAATATTAGGTTAGCCTATTACAGCAGAAATAAAAATTGTTAGCGCAGCACGAGTAACTTGAAATATATTTTCGAATTCGATTTCCGCCTTCAATTGCAGTCACCTCTTGCAACTTTTATTTCTGAAACTGATTTCCGAAATGAGACAGAAAGGTCTTTTGGCTGTTGACACGTCAATATAAAGTTTCTTCTCAATTTGACAGCGAATTGCGTGAACAAGTTGGAAATATTGCTTCTCTTCGGTGCCGACTGATGTCAACTGGAAATGCCTACTGAAGCCAGGGCTTGAATCGTAACATACGATATCGTGACGACGTGACGAGTAAACGTAAAAACACACCTTTCGGAGCATGTCATACGTGAAAAAATTGCTTATATCGTGATTCGGTATGATGAAATACGGTAACGAGTGACGAGCGTACTCGTTCGTTCGAAATGTCTTTCGAGCACAAACCATCAATCGAGTGGGAACGAATTTAAACAAAAATGCAAGTATATTGTTAAAAAATGTGTATAAATAAAGTTTTTAACCACTTTTATTATTATAGGACAAATTTTACTAAACTAAATCCTGCACAAAAAGATAAAATGACGGAGTTTATGGCCGAGCACCCCAACTTGGCCAAAAATAACTTTCCCAACTCCGCGCAAGGGATACCTAGATACCTCAGATAGACTATGGGAGGAACTTTCTAGGCGTCTAAATTCTGTCGGCCCCCAGTTAAAGATCCCAAGATGAGGAGGAAGGTTTTTATTTAAATTTCGCATTAAATTAAATTTGAGGGAGGTTTTGAAATTTGCAATTGCTTACAGGTTTTTTCGGATCAAAAATACTAGGCGAAGAAAAATCTCTCATACAATAAGGCATCTAAACACCGAATGGAGGAGGACCCTATAGCGAGAAGGCCATTACTGCCACTGAGGAGCTAATAATTGAGGCCGCCGGACTGGAGGCTTGTGTTGAAGGCAACAAAAGTGTCCCAGCATTCGCATGCAACAATCATCGCGAGAAATAGAGCTCGAAATAAAGCGATTAGAGCTAGAAACATTAGCCATTAGTTTAAATGAAAAGCAAAACATAATATGAAATTTATAAATTAGGTATAAGAAATATTTAATAAACTTTTTATTTTTTTTACATGTACCTGAAATATTTTTTGTTTTAATGAACTATTATTAATGCTTTTAAATGAATTACGTATTTTATTATGAACTGTAGTGTTAATTTTTTTTACACTTGCCAATTCACAAAATTTCATTAGTTAAATTAAAAAATAATATTTAATAACAAAAAATTAAAAATTCTTTATTTATTTTTACATAGGGCATTACGGGTTTTCATTTCACGTCAGTTATATTTCACATATGCATTAAAAATATTATTTTAGGATACTTTTATACGAAAATATTTAAGTAACATTTGAAAGTGAATGTCTTATTTGGTCTCTTATGGTTTGACCAATTGTAGTGAGTTAATTTGATTTAAATGCCACAACTGCGGATTTCATCGGACTCATTATTAGGAGGATCGTATTTTATATTAAATTTCAAGCAAATGTTGTGTAAAGCTGTCTCGCCACTTTTACGGGATGGTATCTTCCTCTCTTGTCGTACCCCAAAATTCTCCAGCGGCCTCTTAAAATACCTATCGTTCTTTCGATTATACTCCTTGCCTTAGAGTGAATGTCGTTGAAAACGCTTTTGCTTGAACCATTTGGAGGGTTTCTGTATGGGGTCATACACGACGGCTCATGTGGGTAGCCGGAATCACCTGTTGAAGTTCAATTACTCATTATAACCATATAAAACTACTGAAGATTTACAAAAGTACCTAATAGCCAGGCATTTTCTTGCCTGTTAAGCTCAAATCGTTCTTGCAAAACCCTTCTTTGGTCCGAGTGTTTTCAAACGAAGGAATCATGTGTCGCACCATCATATTGGCAGTTGATCGCCAAAATTTTGCATGTGTGATCGTAAATCTTATAAAAACATAAGAATAAATACCGGATTTATTTGAGCACTCCAAAAGCAACTTACGATCATAGCATTGATAATGGTACCCTTTCCGGTTGAAGTACATATGCCCATCCGCTGAAAGTTTTTGCAATCTGATATGTGTGCCATCAATGCAACCAATGACTGAAAAACAACAATGTTAATTAAAGATCTGAAACCAGTGTTGCCGCGCCGTCTCAAGAAAATGTATCCCTGACCAAGCCAAAAATGTATTCAAATGTAACCAATTTTCTTTTTTTACATATACATCTCATAACTTGTAAGAAAACCTAACATTTTCATGAAAAAGACATAATTTAACCCATCCTCAGGACTTGGAATACTTATGCATAAAATCAAACATTTGTAATTTCAATTTATAAAGTACATTTTTTGTGCAGAAGTATTTTGTAAAGTAAATATAATAAATAGCAAGTGTAATGTTCTCCAATAGAGAGCTCGAAGATGAGGGAAATAGGGATGGCAAAGTCGACTTCGACTTTCGACCAAAATCGACTTTTTAATCCTGAAAGTCGAATTTTAGTGATCGACTTTCAGTTTATGGAAGTCGACTGAAGTCGACTTTTCACTTTCGACTCTCGACTTTTTTTAATTTATTTGCATATAAAAGCTTAGTATCCAGCTCTCAAGAAAACGGTCAAGAAAAAATTGCCATTATTTCGCGTGTGTGTCCAAGGAATTTTGACATTTTTTATACCTCACAGCCTGTTGCCTCACTCTTTCCTCAAGAAATAATGGAACGGGCATATATTTCTGTTGCAAACCTGGGTTGCCTTGTGCTCTTTTTTCACAAAAAACTTTAGAAAACCGTAGTAGAAAGCGTACTAAATTTCTGAAGAACTGCGTACTGCCTTAAGGAAATTTGACTCAAGAAAATTTCTTAGCCATTTCTTGTACGTCATTTTATATGGAGTTTTTGCTTTTCTTAAGAGCTGGATACTAAGCTAAAAACTGATCTTCTAACAAGGGCGCGGAGTGCTGTTTGGTCGTATTTAAAAAAAATTGCCAATAAAACTGAAGTGAAATTCGAAAAGTGTGGTAGAGAAATGAATTTTAATGACAGTACAACAACATTGTCAAATCATTCAAGAGCAGCGCATAAAATTACTATACGAAAACAAATTCCTCAAATTTGTTAATCGTTTGTCTCCACAATCTTCAGTTAATAATGAGGTAAGATAAACATGGGTATTTATTTTAAAAATTTCATGCAAGAAAGTTTTTCTGCATGAGTTTATGTAAGTTTCTACAGACAGTGTTTGGTTCGAATTTGACCAATCCGTAAGGTACAACATTTTAAACACCGCTAAAAACGTTGCTGGTAGGGTTCCAGTTAATATGCGGCATAAGTCGTGTGGATAGTCCCAATCCACTAGCTGTCTGGGCTACTCCCATATTTATCCATGCTTATAAAGTGGCACTTATATTTCTACCAATACCCTCCAATTCTGTCCGTAATTACCTAATATCAATTCAAAAAATTTTTAGATTTTTTTTTTGTGAAAATTTCAAATTTTTTAAATTATTTTTCAAAAATATGGTTTTTAAACACCCTCACAACCAACATTTTCATGCTCTATAACTGGAACAATTTAAAAAATTTTTTAAAATCTTTTAGTGTCTGTTTTTTTTTTTACCTAGCATTGAATTTCACTAAATTACAGATTATTCTAAAGACCACTAGTAAATCATGATATTTTTGGCGTATTCTGACTTATATTTATAGCTAATATATGAGTTAAATGCAGAGTATACTTAATACGTTTTCTTTTTATTCAAAAAGTCGAACAAAGTCGACTTTACTTCGTGGATCGGTCGACTTTTAAAGTCGACTGTACAGAGTCGATCGAAAAGTCGAAAGTCGACTTTTTAGTGAAGCCGAACAACCCTAGAGGGAAACACGTTTTGATGACTTGCTGATTTCTAATGCCTTTTTTTTAGTTTTATTTTGTCGATAATAGGGCATTCGCACCAGGCGATTTTACAGGCAACAAAAGTTGAATACGAAGTTGAATGAGAAGTTGAAAGTGAAAAAGTTGCCATCCCTATTCAGACGAGGCGATTTTGGATTCAACACGAATCGTTATTTACATTATTCAAAATGAATTTAAATCGCAAAATTTGATCAATTGGCATAAATTTGGTAAGCCAAGCGTTGGTAGAAGTGCTTTTAGCGAAGCTGAAAGATAAAATAAGAGTAAAAAAGTAAAAAAGAAAAAAAGTATGATACAGAATAGTGTTGGCATTTTTGGTACAATTGTACTTGTTTTATACAATTTCATTTACAATATACTTTCCTACTACGCAGTACTTTTTAGTAAAATTTTGTAATGAATACTAAAAATATATAGCTCTGAAAATTCACAGCAAGAAATTTTTTGTATTCTCTTTGGTTCACCTGTTCGTATTTACCTTTGTAAGTTTTGAAAAAATGGCTTCAACGAACCAGTATAATATAGCCTAGTCAAATTTTTAAAGAAACTTTTCGATACTAAGTTTTATTAAAACAAAATGTCGAAGTCAGCTTCATATAGAAACAAAGTCTTCGTTAGTTATAAGAAGAGATTTTCGTAAATATAATACCTTTACGGCACTCACATATTGACAAGATTTTACTATTTATTTTATTATTCTTTAATTTTAATTATCTGTTTATAAAATATAATGTATTCTTTAAGAAAAACTGTACAAACCTAAGATTAAATCTTTGCGAAACATCCAAAAACCAACATACTTTCGTAAAAATTTCGAGCTTTATTAATATTCTTTAGTTTTTAGCCCATTCAATTTTAGTATAATAAAGTTCAAGTTTAAAGTAGCTGGGACTTACCGTTGAACTTGGCATTTTTTTGTCGACGATGTCAGCTGTCAGAAAATTAGCAACACCTTCATCAAAGAAATCTTAAAAAACTTAGTTATATTAAAATTTAATGGGCTAAAAAACTCAAAATAAATCGAATTAAAAAGTTCGAAATTTTTACGAAAGTGTGTTGGTTTTTTGTTAATGTTGCACAAAGTTTGAACCTTGGATTTGTACGGCTTTTCTTAAAATATAAACAGTATTTAAAAAAAATAGTTAAAATTGAATAATAATAATAATAATTTTGTATAGATTTTGTACTGAAGGAACAATTTAATTTCCCAACACTGATACAGAATGTAAACAAACACAGGGTTGCAAGGAAAAAAAGTTGAACGAGCTCAAAGTTGGCTGGCGACCAACTTTGTTGAAAGCGATTAGTTGAAAGGCCGTTCGGACGAGGCGATTTTTGCTTTCAACTAAAAGTTGCCTGTAAAATCGCCACGTGCGAATGCCCTATAATGTAATGATGATGTGTTTATAAAAGTGTGTAATATAAAGTGTGTTCGGTATAAAAAGTAATATAATACGGAAATGTGTTAGGTATAATATGTGCATGCAATATAATGCATACTTCACACGCCTCCTCTAAAACTGTCACATTACTATGAAACATGTTCATTAGCGAGCGAACCTTGTTAGAAAAGTTGATTGTGTGCTTTAAATTCAATTTACAGATGGTATAAAAATTAAAAAAAACTACAATTATTTTCTTATGACCTTATCCTGCTGGCGTGGTCTTAATGTACGTCTAGGAGTGGAATCTTTGTCTTCAGGCTCAGTCGAACTTTGATTATTCTCTTTTTCCGTTCCAATACTGCGGCTGTTACTATTGTTGTTCGTGTTGTTACGACTGGTATTTGGGTCAGGATTGCCCTCGACATCAGTGACCCCGTTATCTGCTGTATCAGGCGTTTGGATGCTCTCCCGACAACGAATTTGGTTAAGGTGTCGTTTAATTGTTCTGTCATTCTGAGCCAGTACACAGTAATAAGATCTCGGACCAAGTTGTTTGCAAATAGTGGCGGGAGACCAGCTAGCTTTGTTGGGATTACTGTAGTCGCGTATCCACACTTGTTGTCCCTGACTGAACTCAGTACTGCGTTTACCATGATAGTTTCGCTCATTTACCTGTTGACTTTCGATAATTTTATCTTTTAATAAGGGAGGTTTGATGGAAGAAAAACGCGTTTTAAGCTGCCTTCCGAAGAATATTTTTGCAGGTGATTCACCAGTGGTACAATGTACCGAATTCCGGTAGTCAGCTAAAAAGCGATTTAATACAATTATATTACATTATAATTAGTTTTTAAACATGCGCATAACGACTTTTTAAACATTTTCACAAAGTTTTCGGCTTCACCGTTTGATGCTGGGTGCCCTGGTGGGGTTAGAATTTGTTTAATGCCATTGCAGTGCAAAAAATTACCGAAGTCAGCTGAAGTGACTGCGCACCATTATCACTGACAACCAAGTCCACTAATCGGAAACGGCTAAAAGTTTCTCTCAACTTATTAATAACGAAACTAGATGTTATGTCCTTGGTTTTAAATATCTCTACTCATTTTGAATATGAATCAATAAGAATAAGGAAATAGAAATTCTTGATGGGGCCAGCAAAATCTAAATGTACTCTACTCCATATGGATTCGGTTGGTTTCCAAGAGATGAGCTTACTTTTCATTGGGTTGGATTGTAGTAATTGACAAGGTTTACAATTTTTAATTAGTTTCTCTATATCGCTATCTAACCCAGGCCACCATACGTACGAGCTGGCGAGACCTTTTGTTTTTACAATGCCAAGATGCGACAGATGTAGGGATTCCGAAACGGTTTTCCTTAATTTCTGTGGAATCAGATACCTAACTAGTCTGAGCACCACTTTGAATTACTTCTAGCAGCCTTGCTAATAATGGGTCGCGTTTAGTTTCTTCAGCGATATCTCTGAAATTTAAATTTATATGGTTCTCAGATTCAATAAGGTTTACCTAGTTACTTTCATCTATATCTTTACCAATGAATTATTGAGGAATCCTCGATAGGTTGTCAGCATCATTTAAGCGCCCTTTAACATGTTCTATTGTGTAATTGAAACCAGATACGATGACGGCCCATCTTTGAATGCGAGCCGACGCCATTATAGGCAAACCTTTTAACTCACTGAAAAGTGATACCAGGGGTTTATGGTCAGTCATCAACTTGAACTTGTTGCCTAGCAAATACTGTCTCAGTTTTGTGACGGAAAAGATGATGGCTAACGCTTCTTTCTCTAAAGTGCTATAGTTTTTTCACTTTCGGTTAGTGCTCTCGATACAAAAGCTATAGGTTTAGTTGAATTATCAGAATATTTGTGTGATAGCACACCTGCCACTGCATTGTTACATGCATCTGTTGTTAAAATTATAGGCAATTTCGCATTAAAATGCACGAGTACCTGATCTGAACAAACATCGCGTTTGATTTCCTCATATGCTCTCTGACATTTTTCTGACCATCTGAACCAGACATTCTTTTTGAGTAATTCGTATAATGGTGACATTTTTTTTGGCAAAGTTATCAATAAATTTCGAGTAATAATTGACCATTCCCGC